GTGCTTTTTTATTGTAAATTTGGTGTACTTTCATTACATAAAGTTGAAACAGTAATTGAACCAAGTTTTGAATATTTTTCCAAAAACTTGAGGTTTTTAAAAAAAAAGAACTTTTTTGTCCATCATTTCCCCATCTGGACCTATAGTGCAATAGATGGCATATTTTGTCCCCTGAAACATATCAACAAATAAAAAAAAAAAATGCAGAAAATCCTTTTTTTGAGAAAAATGTTTTTAAGACTTTATTTAAAATTCTAAAAAAAGTTGGGTGATTTTTTTTGAGTTCATATTTTTTTCAAACAGTCTCATCTATTACCTGCAATACTGTTCAAGATACCAAACCGATGAGACAAACAGTTTTCGAGTAAAAAATTTTTGAACAAAGGCTTGATATTGTTCTATTTGCCCTTTTCAAAAATAAGGCTGGATTCAAAATCGCGATATGAAGATGCAAAATGGCATTGTTGGTCGTTTCCGCAAATTTTCAATCATATCAAAACCGATTTGCGAATTCGTAGGGAATAGCTTAAACATTCAAGTTTGCCTGGTGTTGTTTTATGCGAGTGTACCCCATTAGGCATAAATACGTTAGGCATACGGACGTTAGGCATAATGGACGTTAGGCATAAAGTCATTAGGTATAATGGACGTTAGTCATAATATACCTTAGGCAAAATGGACGTTAGGCATAAAATGTCTTGCAGCAAAAAGGGTTATCTTCCATTTAAATAATTTTGGTATCCCATGACATATACGTATTTCGACTACAATGTGCAGTCTTCATCTGTGTCATTCCCACTAAAGAACTTATCAAAATCTAACCAAAATTATTTAAGTGGAATTAAATGGAAGAAAACCCTTTTTGCTGTTTTATTTAAGCATTCCGCTAACAACCCAATTCCATTGCTTCAATAAAAAATCTTGCTGCTGTGCAACTCTAGAAACCTGTTTCGAGCATGGTAAACAATGCTTAAATTAGGCTAAGCGTTGAATAAAACATGATACAAGTTAAACAAACATAGTTTATTTAATAAGCACAGTTTGTAATCCATTATTTATCATATCATAAGTGACGTAGCTACATATTTACTTAGATCCAAGATTAGTAGCGATAGCGGTTAAGTAATCTGGCAATGAAAAGTCAGCATAGTTTTGAACTATATCTTGAAATCAATGGCATCTAGAAATAAAAAAAATCACACATTTGTTGTAATATATACTTACACACATATTGCAATTGTCAAAGAAGAAAAGGTTTTCCTTAAAAGAATAGCTCATGAAATAAAGAATGGTGAATTCTGTGGTTTTTCATTCAATAACAAAAAAAAAAAAAAAAAAAAAACATACCTGCTGCTTCCAGGATTTCCTGCCATACTTTTCGATACAACGATTCTGTTTTTGTTGTCATCAGAATGAAAACTAGCGGAACCGTCTGCTGATATGAGGGAGTGATACTTCCATGAACATTGACGAGTTGCCGAAACAAACAAGCAACTGTGGCAAACGTACCATCTGAAACCCAATACTTTGCCTGTTCAAGACGTCGCAAGTTTTCATGAGTTCCAAAAATTAAGGCTCTTTCATTATTGTCACCGAAGTCAGCAAACAATAGACGGTCGCCATTATCATCCTTCTGGAATTCATCGGGTAGATTATGCCCAACGTCCATTATGCCTATCGTAAATTATGCCTATCGTACATTATGCCTCACGTCCGTATGCCTAACGTCCGTATGTCTAATGTCCGTATTCCTAACGTCGTGTACCCGTTTTTGCATATTCGCGTAGGATATTAAGGATACCAGTTTGTTTGCTGTAAAGAAAATCAATATTTATTCTTGAAACAAAAAAAAAAAAAAAACTAAAAGTTGTACAGATGCATAAGTTCTATTAATTGATGGACAGGTCAATTCAGAATGCCGTTGCCAGTTGGGACTAGTGTGCAATTTGATATTTAATTGTTTGATGTTATTTGACAGCACGATCAGATAGAAGGTTGATGTCTTCATTAAAGTTGTTCGGATTGACAAAACCTATTGAATGATGGGCATTAGACTGATGCAAAATTTGACTTTTTCGCTCCACAGTGCTTAAATGGTTTCAAATTGGGTCCTGATTAGCCTCCCAAAGTTACAACTCATTTGGTTAGAAACAGACTTCGCACAAGCCATTTGAAGTTTACATGTAAATTACTATGGGAAATCTTAACTTTTTGTTCATTGCCTTCTAGTCTTTTTCCATATTGAGCTGCGAAACAGTTCGATAGCCATTCTTATAGAAAATTATCTCAGCTACAACTTTGCCCAAGACCGTTTCTATGTAAAACGAGACAGGAAAAAGTTATTAATTATTTAAGAGATTGGTAAACTTATGACATGATCAAGCAGCTGCTCTGTAGGCAACACTGTATTTTGCAGTGTGACATAGTAGTCATGATTTTTGTGTCCTATTCAACGCCCCAGAAACACCAATGTTGCCTGCTGAGCAGGTGATTGAGCATGATCATAAGAAATCAGCGCATTGAACCATTGATAACTTTCGATCCTTGCATTTAATCAAAAAGTGGTCTTGAGCAAAGTTGTAGCTGGGAAAATTTACTACAAGCACAGTTGTTTGCTTTTGAAGCAGACCGGTATGGGGAATTATTAGATAGACATGAACAAAAATCTTGGTTTTACCATAGTAATTCCCAAACAAACTTCAAATGGTTTGTGCCATCTCAGTTTCTCACCAAATGGGTTCAAATTTTGAGAGGTGAGTCAGGATCCGATTTGGAATCGTTTAAGTATTGTGGAGCGAAAATTTCAAATTTTGCATCACTCTAATGGGCATTCAGTTCAGAACTTACTCACCAGGTGGTGCTAGTTCCATAAAAGTTGACAAGTTCCTGACCAGTTGGTTAGTTCCATAAAAGTATTATACGTCTTTAGGCAAAAGTAAATGGTTCTGCACAGAAGTTGTTCTCAATATGTAAATATTAAATTTTTCAGGATTTTTGCAAGCTCCAGAATTCAAGTTTTTTGTATTAATGTTTTGGACTCATAATTACATAAATATTTGTTATGTCAGCTGTTATAGAAATGCCTTTGTCCGAAATTTTCTGATTGTTTCGATCTTTCATATTTCTCAGACTTCGAGTTTTAAAATTTTTATTTCTAAATTATATTTTTATTGCATGATTTTTCAATCAATTTCCATATGAGATCTTTAACTTCACGTAATTTTAAGTAAAATTATTACAATCAAACAACCAATTCACCAAAAATTAAGCAAATTAACCATAACATTTTTATTAGGGATTACAAAACATTTCAAAGTTTTTATTCCCTGGCTGTCTCGCGATTCGCGAGTTTGGAGTGACGTTTGACAAGCGGACAAAAAACGCATTCGTACGAAAATGGGAATAGCACAACATCGTTCGAACGAACGATGTTCGAAAATTAGAATTGCTTCGAACAGGGTTGCTTCCACTCACTTGCTATAAACAAATATTTTTCGGAATTTTGCAATCATTCGATGTTATAATGGTATGTTCTACTTTTAAGTAACAAGAAGAGGGCGTAAAGTATATATTTGACTCATAAAACCTGTCAATTTCGCTTTCAGAGCGTCACAATCAGCGATCTTATGATTCGTGAGCGTTCACTCTGAGTGAGCGCTCACGAGTTGTAAAATCGCTGATTGTGACGCACTGAAAGCAATATTGACAGATTTTCTGTGTCAAACATATACTTCATGACCTCTTCTTGTAACTTACAACAATTAATTAGCATTATACTATTTCATGATTTCATAATTCCGAAAAACATTTTTTTATAGCAAGTGAGTGGAAGTAACCCTGCCTTCGAACGAAAACGGGAATACGAAATTGCTTTCCTTTCGAACGAATCCGGTTCGTACGAAAACAGGAATAGAGGTGTTTTGTTTCCGATTATTTGCAAGCACACCGTTTCTATGCTGCGATCAATGACCGATTCGGCCATTTGGGAAAATTGCACATGATGAAAATTCGGGTTTCACTACGTCTCCCACTAAACTTATCTGGATAATCACCCCAATTCATAATAACTACACCGGAGCAATGTGTCCATCCGCGCTCGAATGGACCAACATGTTTGGGATAAAGGATTTTTGTTATATTTTGCGAACTAAAAGATAAGTGAGCGGTGCCGGTGGTGTAGTGGTAAGCGTGATTTCCTCTCACCCCAGCAGGCCTGGGTTCAATGCCAGTCGGCGCCACCGAGATGTTCTGAGGTATAACATCTCTGATCACGCCTTCCTTCGGAAGGGAAGTAAAGCCTTTGGTCCCCGGTTCATGAGTTGATGGGTCGATAGGTAGGGTCCAGGTTTGGCGTCGGTAGCATTGGTGCTCAGCACGGAAAACAAGATCGACGGAAAAACCAACCAAAGGAAAAAAAAAGATATGTGGGTCTGATCGCCATGTTATTCATTAACTTTTATTTTTTCGTCAATAAGCAATAGGTTGTTATTGTAGCTCAATTTGAACCATCGCATAACACAAATTTGAATTCAAATAAATTTTGCACGACATTTTGAAAACATCACCAAGTTCTCTGAAATTCTACGACCCACCCATCCGTTTTACAAAATCTTAAATCTATTTCATATATCAAACATCACCGAACTGTTTACCGAACGATCAGTTGTTCAGATTTCGGTAAAATTTCACAGATTTCGGAAAAATAATCTTAGTGTGTACCGAGTTATTAACGAAAGAGGATTGAAGTCGATCAGTTCACAATGACCCAACTGAAATGTTTAATGTTACTATTTCTCAATTTGTTGGTGAAAAATAGGGCTATGTGAATGTTTGCACCGTCTTCTATGTTAATCATACTAATTGCATTTTGCATGCGAGTCATTTTTTAGGCTTCCTTGTTCTGCTGTTGCTCTTCAGTTCCGCATTACATTCCGGGCAGGTCACACGTTTAGTTGCCAATAACTGTTAGGCTTGACGAAAATTTCATTTATTTTTTTCAGAGAGATGACTGTAATGACCAAGGACGTACTAAATGGTAAGTGAAAGTGGCCACATTTGTGCATGCAGTATTGTAGGATTTCCATTTATGCCTTGTTCGCACTACAGCTCTTGCAACATGTTAAAATAGTTATTGGCAAGAGAACTGTCATCAAGATAGCCTTGTAACATGTTGTGACTTAGCCTGAACATCACATTTCACCACGTTACATTTCGATTTTTATAAAATGTTTACTTGCACGGTATTTCACGTATATTTTTGCAGTTTTATAAATGAAAACCTTGCCTAATGAAACGTGGATCGAGTAAACCAGAAATGGGCTTAGTGCAGTGCAAATGTCGCGTGTGCTTTTGTTATAATATCTTATATAATATCTTATTGCGCATTTATACACAATAATATATGCACAGACGCATATGCATGATAAAGAAAAAATATTGACTTATTAAAATTCAGTAATGGGAATTCACACTTTACCAGAATTTAAATATTCAGTAATTTTTATTTCTGGTCTGGTGCGGTAAAAGACACTTTAAACTTAAAATTCAGTTAAACGCTTCATCGGCGTTTAGAAATAAGAATTTAGTGATATTCGGAGCTTAAAAACTGTAAGTCGGCAATGAATTACAAAAAATACTGAAGACTGCATTTTAATTTGCTGATTTGGTTGGTAAATTGATTGTTTTTTTTTTAATTTTTGAAAAGTTCGGTAAAAACATTACCGAGCAAACAGTATTCTAAAAAGTTCTAATGTGTTTCTATTAAAATTTGAATTTGAATTACTGAACTTGAATTGTAAACTGCAGTTTGAAAATTTTTACCCGTCCTTTGAATGACTGCATAGAAAAATCACGAGTAAATAATTTATACCAAATAAAGGGGGAAATTAGTTTGCTGGATTTATAGGGCGTACTTTGGTTCGCGAGTAAAGGGCCTTAGAAAGTTTGTTTACAAATGCTTTTGTGCCGTTATCAAATGTTACGCCTGATATTTTTTTGACCCTGCTGCTAAATTTGACAGTTCACGTCAAAACCATGAAAGCTCTTGTAAATTTGAAAAGATTTTCTTTTTGATTTAACAATCCATGGGTTTTTAGAAACAAAGGTACTGGATTGTTGAAATAATAATGATTTCTTTTTGCAGCCAAAACAAAATGAAATTCTTATTGATTTTACACCAAATATTATTACGTTTAAAATATTTTTTTCTGCGTGAATAAGAAAACGCAAGCAGACCAATAGCATTAAGCAGATTAACAAGGAGAGGAATAGTTTAGGAAATAAGTAAAATTATAGGTATGTGACAATGAATAACTTTTAATCTTTTGTATGTATTGTTTTCGCCTGAGTTTGTTGTACTCGATTACTATATTATTCTCTCAATACGTGAAATCTCGGATTTATCACTGTTTTCATGAAATAAACGTTCTTCCCAAACCCAGTCGTGATAATCGAGTACCATTTGGTTGCACATCGTGCTGCTTGAATCTGAAAAGTTATAAAGCAGCGCTGCTAATGCGCCTCAACTCATTTTCGCTTCGGACGGCGGGTAACCAGGTAGCAGTAGCAGTAGGAAAGCGGTTCCTGTCAAGCGCGCAGCGTTCGACTTTTGCACCTCAAACTTTGAGCGTCGTTCCCGTCGAGATCACTGGCTGCTGGTAGAGGCGTCGCCTCGATGGCGCAAGCGCTTCATGCCTGAATGATAACTACAAATCTCGATTATTTTTTCGAAAGGTCATATCAGCTTTTATAAACAACGCATTTTATCGTCGGTTTGGCATAGCTGATAGCTTGCCCCACATACTAACACCACTATACAATCAGGTAGGGGAAAATTTCCTCTATCTGATGGTAGTGTTAGCATGCGTGGGTGAGCTACCAGTTACGCCAAATCGACGATCAAATGCGTTGTTTACAAAAGCTGATACGTACCTTCAAAAAAGTAATCGAGAAATACTTCTTGAGCTATGTACCAATGGCCGAGTTAAATTTAACTCGTGGTTTAACGTGACATTTCGAAAGTTATTTTCAATGTTTGAAAATTCCGGAAATTGATCAGTTTTCAAACAGAACTCAGCCACGGTTACCAAAATTTAACTTCTAGTCAGTCCGAAATAACCACGCTCGTATAGCAGGGTTATTCAATAACTCATCGTTCACTTTTAACTACTATTTAAATTTAACTCGCCCATTGCGACACAGCCTTAGAAGTAAAATTAGGGCCATCTATAAATTACGCATATTTTTTGACCAATTAACCCCTCTTCCCCCTCGGAGCGTGTTTTGCAATACACCTAATACATGGCCGGTCCCAACTTCTGAAACCCCTCTCCTCCCTCAACTACTACGTTATTTATGAAAGTTCCCTAATCATTGGGCAATAGTGCTGGATCAATAATAGAAAAGGGCCCATCAATATTTGTAAACAAACCGTTCCAAAGCCCATTCCTCACAAATCGAAGGCCGCCCACACAAACCAACACCATCATCGTGTAGGTGGAAGTTTCCCCTATCCGATGATGGTGTTGGTGTGCGTGGGTGGCCTTCGCTTTGTGAGTAAAGGGCTTTGAAACGGTTTGTCTACAAACAGGTTGGAAATTTAGGCGAAATTTCGATATCTTGCAATCAGAACGTTTTAGCTTGAAATCCCTCCATTTAATTCTCCCCTCCCCTTGGCTAGTTTTTGCACCTTGCTGTTGGTGGGCGGGCTTAATTTCATGCTTTATAGAGGAGTGTTGGAGACGGTAGGTTTATGGCCGGCGTTGCTGGCTCATGCCGCGATAGAATGGCGCCATGGGCAGGCAATGGGGATTACTAAGCTTCCCCTATCTGATGAACCACTGCATGAGAAAACCAAAGATCTAGTCCAGCAGTGATAGTATCACACTTGTTACTCCTTTGTTTGAGAGCCGCGTCGTAGTACGCTTACGTATAGGCACTGACGTTGGGTGCGATACTGGCGGGTTTTGCCACAAATCACTCTTATTTTATTTATTTTTACGCAGATAGATTTATTTGGGTTTGCAAGGGAATTATACTATTGAAATATTTTAGAAAGTGCCCAAAAGTACTCCTTCTACTTGCGTGACAAGCTTACATTGTTGTTTTCATTGAGGTATTACTCAGAGAACAATGTTAAACACTATTTTTGTACATGGTATTGTAACTAATATTATATGTGCTTCATTTTGATTAGGGATAAGTGTTTGAACTATGGCTCGGGATTTCCACTGTGGCGTGCCTCTATTGTGACATACTCATACGTATTTTTGTGGTGCGACATAGTGGAAGCGTGTGAGCATAGTTAGAGCATATACCCTATATAATTTAAAAATCAGCTAGGAAACTAACTTCAAAGTGAAGCATTTTAGTCACTTGAAGGTATCACTTGGGTCGAAATAAGATATAATAAATAGGTATAGGTCAAAATCAAAAGTTCTTGAAACACGTTTAACTTTAGATTACAAGCACAAGTGCAGGTACTGAATAAAGCAAGGGTTGTGATTGATTAGGTGAATTAGAGATTTCAATTATTTATTAAATTAGACTAATGAGATATCATAATCATCAAACGAACGTAAATAAGAAAATTCAGAAAGTTTAATAACATTTGGTAGATTAACAAAAGAATTAGGATGCTTCGGAAGGCAATAACCTTTAAAGTTGTATAATAAATTTTTCTATTAAGTCTTGAACTTCAATAAGAAAACGCAAGCAAACCAATAGCATTTAACAAATTAACAAGGAGAGGAATAGTTTAGGAAATAAGAAAAAGTAGAGGTATGTGACAATTGATAACTTTTAATCTTTTGTAGGTATTGTTTTCCGCTGAGCTTATTGTACTCGATAAATATATTATTCTCTCAATACGCGAAATCTCTGATATATGCGGTAAAAGCATTTGAGTTAACTTATTTCTTAGTGTTCAAGTACTTACATTTGTAAACAGCAGTCAATGTTAATCTATGAACTAAACCCGAGCAAAGTCTGAGATCAAATTGAAATCTAAATTTGATGTTGTAATTTCGCTGATAATGATTACTCAAGTTGCTGTCGTTTTGGTCGTTTTAACGGTTAAAATATCAAAATTGAGAGCAAACATATCTTCTTGTGACATCACATTGAAAACTATTTCTGCTATCAGTGAGAGCAAACTGAATACCAAATTTGAGTATTCAATAAGTATTGCTAAGGCAATGAAAACAAACCCGCAACAACATATTTTTGAAGAGCAAAATGAAAACAAAAATAGGTATCAAATTTGTCAATTGCGTAAACTGAAATCAAATTATGATTTCAGTTTGATGTTGATATCAAAACTTGATTTCAATTTGCTGTCATTTTGATGCTGGACTTTGCTCGGGAACCCTACGTGACTGTAAAATCGATCTTTTCTTATGTGGTATTGACGCATCGATGCATGTTTAACTTTTCGCGGCTGTCGGCTACGGAGATAACGCAGAAGTGATTCGCAATGCGGTAGAGCTCACCAAAAGTTTTTTGAGCTTCTGTAGTATAGAATTTGTTCGGTATGGTCGTGAAATTTTGAAATGATTGATACGTGCGGTAAAATAACTAAATTGAAACAAAGCTCAATAGTAAAATAAGTAGAATATCTTGGGAGGAAACCAACATTAATCAACTTGCCAACATAGGCTATCACATTTATTTTGGTGGCACTATTTAAATAATAATAGACCTTTTTCTCGCCGTAGGTTGTCACACACGGCTTTCGGAATTCGCGCGGTTTTCGTAACTTACAAAGTTTAGATATTTCGTTCGAAACGAATTTACTTATTCAATCGGTTTATTACGTGGATGTATCTACGCGCACACGTCACAGCATTTTTTCCATAACTATCTTGAAACAATACACATGGAATCCAGTGTTCAAGCTGCCAACATAGGCTAGTCCTTCTGCTGTATTGTCAAAGATAGAAGCAAAATTTATTCAAATGGGTCAAGTCTTGAAAACTAAGCTGTCACGCAGCTCCAGCTTGATACCCAAAAAATAAAAAGAAATCCCTCCATTTAATT